GACATGAAAGAGGAGGATGGTGATGTAGAACAGGAGGCGGGCATTGCATGGGTGGCCCGTAGTGGTAGGTACAACAGACTTGAGTAAGGGAAGGATGATACAAGAGAGCAAAGAAGTGTGAAAATGTCATACAGGAACATGGGGATTTGAATCATTGGAGTCAGTCTACTTATATGCATATATGAAAAAGGCCAACTCCCTTTGAGGGAATGATCTAGCTATAGCAGTTCTAAGGGTCCTAAAGTGTCTGTACTGAAGTAAGGGAAGGACCAGCGGTCCTTCACACACAACCATCACTAACCACATCGAGGAATTGCATCTAACTCTAAATGCATCAAAGTGTAAGTATATTCTGGGGTCAAGAAAAAGACAGCCTCTTCTCCCTCCTCAAGAAATACCCATTAGTAGTTGCCAAATTGAACGAGTTCAGAGCTACTGCTACCTGGAAGTCATAGTGAACCAACGCATCTCATGGTCTGAACATATCCAACACCTATGTCTAAAGTGCGGAAACTATTGGTATGCTGTACAGACAATTCTATACCTGGGCCAACACCTTTACCCTTCGTACTGTGCATATGGCATGCATTCGACCACATTCAGAGTACGCTGCTCAGCTATGGGATCCATGCAACAAGAAAGATAATGAAGCTCTCGAGTCTGTTAAAAAATTTGCCTGCAAAGTTTGTCTAAAGATATGGGACATGAGCTACGATGACATGTTGCACCTGCTTAACTTGCCACCTCTACATGCCAGACGCAGATATCTGTCACAATGTTTAACATCATCAATGGACACTTGTATTCCCCACAAGGCATTTTCATTTCTCAGCAGCCTACATAAGACATACTTCCTAATTCGACTACTACAGACCTCGCTCCCGGACAGACTATCATCAGACATCTTACGTTCCAAGTGTAATTTCAGCATGGAATAACTTACCAGCAGAAGTAAAGTCTCCCTGTACTGTCTCATCCTTCAAAGATCAGTTATTGTATTACGGCATTTGACTTTTCTCACTAGCACTCCTAACTGTGATTACATGCCACCATTGTTCATATAGAGAATGAAAGGCACTAAAGTGCAAACCCTCGGCGAACTGCGCATGTGCGGTACCACTAATTGATGGGCTGGGCTTTTTATGCCTTTACTCGTGGTATCCCGCTAGTAGCTCGCGGAGAGTCTGACACGGGCTAGCTACAGTAGTAAATAGCATGCGGGAGTCGATACATGCCCTTCGTTGTGACTTGTTGTGCCTTCAAGACACACAGAGCGAACAGACGCGGTCGGGGTAAGCCTGTGCTAATTTACATATTGGCTTGTTCACTTGGTTTTCACGCCATAACTTTAAAACACAAAATCAACCCAGTGTAGCACTGAACCCGATAATATCGCTATTTACCTGATTTCGTGCGCGCGGTGGCAGAAAACGTGGTAACAGACAGACAGACTGACAGACAGACTGACAGACAGACACACTTACGGGACAACTACCATAACCCTCGCTGCGCATGCGCGCCGAGGGTTAAATACAAACCGGCCATAGAGCGATAGTAACGGGTACACTGGCTTCATTTTGAAAAAGGTGATTTTTTATAAAACCACTGCGTTCTAAAGTTATGGCGTGAAAACCAAGTGAACAAGCCAATGTGCTAATTAGCACAGGCTTACCTCGACAAGGTGCGTTTGCTCTGTGAATCTTGAAGGCACAAAAAGTCACAACGAAGGGCGTGTATCGACTCCAGCATGCTATATTCGATGACTGAGAGTAAGATCAAAGGAATTCCAGCCAGTCCAAACAACGTACCCGCGTAGTGAGCGCTTCCTGCTGAGTTTACGGGTAGTTATACCATAAAGAGGCCATATGATTTCCCCATACTTTAGCTGTATGTCAACTTATTTGCATAAACCACAATGGGTATATACGATAGTAGGAAATTGGCAGCGTGTAATGCAATTGGGGGGCTTTTACACTCCCTGTTTCTTTACCAGAAGGGAGTGTTTTCAGGCTGGAATGGCCAGAAACTGCTCTAGTATATACGCGGTCTGAAAACTAGCGAAAGCGGCTTCCCGACGCGTAGGCTCCCGTAGACTGGAACAGTATGTGACTTTCAGCGCTCTTGCTACTGCAAAAGGCTGCATTCGAGAGTGCTGGGTATAGCGGGAGAGAAAGCGAGCCAGAGCGGCAGCTACAAAACTCGTGTCTAGCAGCGAAAGTATAGCTTTGACGTACCTGTAACGTTGAACTCTCGAGGGATAAATGACCATGGCTTCTGCACAACCGCCCAGCTTGACCAAACTAAAGCGCTTATTGCAGCTGTCTCTCTCCCGATCGATCGCTTAGCTATAGTACACTCGAGGGTGTGCGTTAAAAAGAGGGCGTTTTGAAAGCTTTTGCGCAATCTCATTGGTCAGAGCCTTACCGCCGGATGTCATCATACAAACACGTTATACGATGGCTTTGCTTGTGGTTTACTGGTTGTACACTCGTGGCTTCAGTTTTGATAGACCACTCGGGCTACGCCCTCGTGCCCTATCAAAACTGGCCACTCGTGTAAAACCAGTAAACCACGCGCCGCCATCGTATAACCTATACGTAGCTAGCCCGTGCCACACTCTCCGCGAGCTAATAGCAGGAGATCACGAGTAAACAGCCCAGCCCGTGACTTAGCGGTACCACCCATGCACATTTCGCTGAGGGTTCGCACTTTAGTGTAGAAGGGGTATAGGGATGGCTTGAAGCACCAAAAAGAAACAAGGTCTCTTTATTAGAGAGTGGGTAGACTCTCTATATAGGGATGAGACGGGTGAAATCTCACATGATCCGCGTACAAAACGACTAAAAACTCGGTGAGAATCACTCCCTAGGCCTTATAAAAGTACTAGCAATAGTCTATGGGCCCATATCTACCTATACATGTCCCCCAAGACCTCATACGCACCTTCAGTCGTCCACGGCAGAATTCGCTCATACGCGATTTCACGATTTTCGTGTCATCATATTCTTCATCTTCTTCTTCTTCTTTAAACCCGCTATCTCCTTACCAATACGAGTTCAAGCACTGAATTTTACACTGAAGGTCTCCATTATCGCCGGAGGTGTGCACGGACATCAAGCGATCGTTTCTTTCTTGCCGCTAGTCACTACGGTAGATCATGGAGTTCTTCCATGGTCGATACTGAAGAACGCCATTTGCTGCACCAGTGAGCCACGCGCAAGCGCCAGGCAGGGGCGTTGTCCAATGCGCTTGCGAGCGTATTCTACCAGGCGAGTTGGCAGACCTGCAGAGGAACTGTCAGCCTCCAGTACCTTCTGTAAGTAAGTGTGCACATTTCCAACTGGCTAGCTTGCTGTCGATTTGCACGAAGAGCAACTTGCCAGAGTCTTCGCTGTGTTACGCGAGCCCTGCGGGGCGCTCAGTCAAATGGGCCTTCATTGTTTGTCCACCCCCCAGGTTGTAGCCTGATTACCAAAGCCTGCCCATGAAACCATAACCATGTAATTACATCCTTGTTGAAGGAGGTATCTAGCCTCTGTCATATCTACAACATACCCATGAACATCAGAGTAACTGTGACAATAAATGCAGTGTTGTCATAACCTGCTAAAAATAGTGGAAACAAGTGGAAAAATCATTTATTCCAAATAAAAGGGAGATATAGGGATGGCTTGAAGCACCAAAAAGGAAGAAACAAGGGGTCATTACACACCAAATATGCACGAAGCCACATGACACCATCCCTATATCTTTGTTTTGTTGCAAAGTTTAATATCGAACAAAGATATAGGGATGGTGTCATGTGGCTTCGTGCATATTTGGTGTGTAATGACCCCTTGTTTCTTCCTTTTTGGTAGATATGGACCCGTAGTCTATGGGCCCGTAGACTATTGCTAGTACGTTTATAAGGCCTAGTATGTTTTGAAGGCCTAGGGAGTGATTCTCACCGAGTTTTTAGTCGTTTTGTACGCGAATCACGTGAGATTTCACCCGTGTCATCCTTATACAGAGAGTCTACCGACTCTCTAATTGCACACAAAGCTACATGACACCATTCCTATACCTTTGGGACGGTGTCATGTAGTTTTGTGCATCTTTGCTGTTTCCAATTATTTCTTCATTTTTGGTGCTTCAAGCCATCCCTATCCCTTTGAAGATTTTCCACTATTTTTAACGAATAGCTATAGCAACACTGGATTTATTGTGCATGGGTATGCTGCACGTTATTTAGAGTAATCGCTATTTTTCTACTGACAGTTGATTTTATACTGTGGTTGCCGTTCTTATCTATTTGTTCTCTAACTATGTGTAACGGGAGGTTGGGACACTGGGTGTATAGGGAGAGAGTTTGGCCAATAAAAGACTCTTTAACCTACCGCCCCGGTTCTCAAGGCTGGGCACCCAGGGTCCTGCCTCTCTATTTCTGTTTATATGTTGTTGTCTGACATTTCTATTTTTATATGTTTTCTTACATGTGTATATGTTGTGCGTTATTTAGAGTAATCACACGATTTTCTATCTAAGTTGCATCGTCGTACAGTAAGTTTCAGAGTTTTTATATTTTTCTATGAGCCTATTAATTTGGGTGGGGTGGTTTAAGGGTTCTTTCTTTTCCTCTCATACTATTATTCTTTTAGCTAGTGTGCTATAAACATGTTTTTTCATGGGTATGTTGTAGGGTGAATTCTAAATTCAAGTAGTTCAAAAAGACATATTTGCCCTTAATTATTGTAACCAGGCAGACAACAGAAGCTACATGACTCCGACTCACGTTGTCTCACGCACCCCCGAACATTCCTCACCTGCCCCTGACTTACATACCCTCATGTTATCCTGTTCCCCTGTATAACTCGCTCCTTACACTCACACACTATAAAAGCACCTTGCTAAATTCATATGTGTGCTCGACCTGATATCGGTATTGCTATACCTGAGGAAGCTGTTGAACGCGCAGAAGTCACGCTACAATGGATGTACTGATTAGCCTCCAGTGAACATACCTTGGTGGTGGCCTGGTGGACATCAGCACCAGCCTCTAGCAGAATGTCCACTACATCAGAGTGTCCATCATGACTGGCAACATAGAGTGGGCTGGCACCATCCTGTACAGTGAGAGAGTAGGAAATAGGACACCACTATATAGTGAGGTAGTCTGGAACCTGGAGTCCAACTGCTCATTACAATACCATAAGAATATTTTAATGTGGGGAATACATTTGTAATCATTATGAGTGCAATAGTTATGCAGATTGCAAGGAGGCAAGGTCATTCACTCCTCATGAGGCTGGGAAACTTCCATTACTATAATGGTTATTGGCGAGTGAAGCGATCCTACCTAGTCATCGCAACCAGCTTTTCCATTTATTCATTTCTATCCGACTATTGACACATACCGTAATGTTCTACATAGATGCAATAAATGAGAAATATTTATTGCACTGCTAGCTAGAAACTACCGTGACCGTCCATAACGTGTCATTCAAAACACACTCGCGGAGAGTCTGACACGGGCTAGCTACAGTAGTAGATAGCATGCGGGAGTCGATACACACCATTCGTTGTGGCCTCTTGTGCCTCTAAGGTACACAGAGAAAGCGGATGAGGTCGAGGTAAGCTAGTGCTAATTAGCATATTGGCTTGTTCACTCGGTTTTCACGCCATGCGGAACTTTTACGAAAATCGCAAAGGCAGTGCAGCGCCGAACCCGCTGGTGTCGCTGTTTTACCTGTTTGTTGCGCGTGGTGGCAGAAATCGTGGTAACAGACGGACAGACGGACAGACAGAACGAATACTGTAACCTTCGCTGCGCATGCATGCACCGAGGATTAATGAATAACTTGAAGCCAGTAATGCTGCTGTTCCTTTTCTGCCTCACTCTACAGTGTGCTGTAACTGGCAACAAACACCAGCCACACACATGAAACCTAGATATGGCTACTTCTGGACTTCCAAATACGTGTATGTGAGAGACTGGATGTCTCCGCAGTCTCATGTTTGTGGGTTTTTCACCATTTCCCTGTTTTGTATATAATTATCACTCCTATCCTCCCTTCCTCTTTCTGGGTAAAGTGTAGTCTGTCACTTCCCACGTTCATCCTGTCATGTTTTTTTGTATAAAAGAGCTAGGCGGTAGCGAATGACTGTATTTAGTGCCTGAAGCTGGGGCTAGATACCCATTCACCTCATGTATTGTCTTCAACAAGGATGTTATTGCACATGGTTGTGGTTTCATGGGCAGGCTTTTGTAATCAGGCTACAACCTGGGGGGACAAACAATGAAGGCCCATTTGACTGAGTGCCCCGCATGGCTCGCGTAACACCGCTCAGACTCTGCCAAGTTGCTCTTCGTGCAAATCAACAGCAAGCTAGCCAGTTGGAAATGTGCAAACTTACTTACAGAAGGTACTGGAGGCTGAGAGTTCCTCTGCAGGTCTGCCAATTCGCCCGGTAATACGCTCGCAAGCGCACTGGACAACGCCCCTGCCTGGCGCATGTGCGCGGCTCACTGATGCTGAGTTAGCAGCAAATGGCGTTGTTCAGTGTCGACCATGGAAGGGCTCCACGATCTACTGTAGTGACTAGCGGCAAGAAAGAAACGATCACTTGATGTCCGTGCACACCTCCGGCGAAATTGGACACCTTCAGTGACAAAATCAGTGCTTGAACTGGTACTGGTAAGGAGATAGCGGGTTTAACGAAGAATAAGGAGATGAAGAACATGATGATGACACGTAAATCGTGAAATCGCGTACCATTCTCGCGTGGATGACTGAAGGTGCATATGAGGTCTTGGGGGACATGTATAGGTAGATATGGGCCCGTAGACTATTGCTAGTGTGTTTTGAAGGCCTAGGAAGTGATTCTCACCGATTTTTCAGTAGTTTTGTACGCGGATCACGTGAGATTTCACAGTGTCATCCATATATAGAGAGTCTACCGACTTTCTAATAAAAGTGTTCTTTTCCTTCTTGTTATTCTCTATGGCTAGTATGTTAAAAGCATGCTTTTCTTGTAGCATTGTTTGTCTTTGCTGAGTATTGAAATTTTTAATGAACAGTTATCGCAACACTGCATTTTCTCAACTGATTTACATATTTTCGACATGTGTATGTACTGGCAGGATATGGGTGCTTGCTGGCTTCATTGCCGCGGCCCAATCCACTATGCCAGTATTTTGAATTCGGGTTCTGGCTCAGTGCTGACCTTGACCAGCAGGAGTTGGGAGGGGCCTAGGCTCCAAACCACGAATGTCTGGGCATGGTCAGCAGTGAGCCAAAACCCGAATTCAAAATACTGGCATAGTCCCGCCAGCAAGCAGTGGCAAAGCCTTGTGGGGATGAGTTCAAAACCACAAGTGCTGTGCTCATGGCAGCCTTATAAACTCTTGATGCCAGAGAGAGAAGTTGTGGTATGCTCTGCTGATGAGGGCCAACAAGCCTGAAACAGCTGTCCAGAGCTCCCCATCTTTTTTCTCTTGGCATCACATGATATTTCCTACATGGGTATGTTGTAGGGTGACGTGGACCAATTCTAACTTGTTGAAAGCAGTAGCTATGGCTGAAGCAGGGTGCAGTAGACATCCACAGAAGTCTCTTATAAAACAACATAAATTAGGTTATGGCTTCTTTGGACTGAATGGTGGTTTCAAGGGCAGGCTTTCATAATCAATGTTAGCTACAAGATGGAGGCTTCACATAACTATACCCGTAACAGAGAGGTGCAAGTGCAACATACTCTCTTGCTCAAATAACAGCAAAATGCAGATTAGCTTGTTGGAAATGTGTATGTACCTTTTTACAGATACTGATGTCAGCTCCATTCTCTATCAGCAGTTGAACTACAGCTGTATGACCCTTCCAGGAGGCCAAGTAGACTGAAGTCTGGCCATTCTGTAGAGGACATATATACAACAGAACACTGGACATGGGACATGGTGTGAGGTGAGAATGGTTCATGAGCTCTGCTGTGGACTGGGTTTCTATATATATGTTATGTACTACGTGCGAGGGACATACCGGATTTCAATGAACCCGAGGGCCTCCGCGTTTGTAGTGTCCCGAGCGCAGCGAGGGCACTACGCGGATGGCGCGAGGGTTCATTGAAATCCGGTATGTCCCGAGTATACGGAGTACATAACATGTTTAGTGCAGAGCAAATCAGCTCCGTATACGCGCACTGCCGCGTTTCCAAGCACAGGGAATTTGAAAGATGCTAGAAAGAGACGAGAGCGCAAGACCGTCATCTCGTGCGGGACTATTGAACGCCGAACGCTAGGATACGCTGCTTCGCCGCTATAGCTACTCCCGCTGAGGGACTGTCCTCCACTCATCCGAAGAAACGCGACAGGAGACCTGCGCGAACCATCGCAATCAGAGAGAGGCGAGAGTGGAGACTTCAGGCGCTGTGCGGGCTGCTATACCGAAGGCGTTCGCCGTAGACTTAGTAGCTTTATCGCGCGCACTCGCTCTCGGAGCCCCACCCCCTTATTTGCGTGCGGTGGTTTGTGGGCGGGCATGAGCTAATAGCTAGCTAACATGGCAAGGAGGGAGATGGGCTCAAAGCAGACACAGAAAACTGTCTCGTGGAAAAAGAAAATCAAGATATCAGTTATTTTGATCAACATTTTGTACAGATCATGTTTTGCGGGATACATTTCTTACATGAAATGCTGTTGAACTTGTTGAAAATCAACAGAAAAACAAGGTTTCATATCATTTTTCATGTTACTTTTGTTAGCTCACGAGGTTCATATGAGAAATCAGGAACCTCGTACTAACAAATCTGATTGGTCGATTCGAATCAGCTATGCACTAAACAGAAGTTATGTGGTGGTATTGTGGCTACATAATCGGTCCTGTCAAGGTCTGTCACCTGGTTCAACGAAGACTAAGTTCTCCGTTAGCAACAGTCGTAGATAGTAACCATAACTGAAATTAGGAATCAGGACTGTAGTAGTCATCACCTTGTCCTTGTGGTTGACGTTGGCTCCTGCCTCCAACTGTCTCAGAACTGTCTCAGTATGTCCCTTCTCAGCAGCTATCCCCAGAGGAACACTGCATGGTTCCTGGAGAGAGAAGACAGAAACTGAGACAAAAATTTCTCAGCACCTAATAAGGTATGGCTGCCATTATTATGGGCCAAACATGCTGTATCATTCACTGCACATCTTTTTGGTACTAAAGTGTGGTGTTTGTTGGTGTGTGTGAGATGCCAAAGAGTCTGCTGTAGTCCTGCGTCGATTATTCCAGAATAATTTCGGGAATAATAGGTCCCTCTGGGAATAAGAATAATTCCAAGAATAATAGGTTGAAAGTTTCCAAGCGAGCGACGAGCCGGCAATGGCGGTAACTCGCGGAAGGGCGAAGTTCGAGTGGGCACGCGTCACGCGCACGAGTGGGTCAAAACAGAACGGACTCCGACTCGGACAGGGAATCAGGGTCAGGGATAAAAACCACGTGGATAAAATGGCGTCGACTTTCCATCCGGTAGATGTGGATACCCCAGTGTCCCAGCCTGGCAGCAGCACGGCCACCAACCAGTCAGAGACGAGTGCTGCCAACGTCGACACTGCGGACACTAGCAGTAGTGAATCGGCTTTCCTGCTGAGTTTGCGTCAGCCTATCTTCGTCTGATTTTGCCCGAAAACGACGAGTATTCAAGAATCCTCCACCAGTAGGTAAACGAAGGGCTCATGAGCATGGTGCGTTTGACCCTATCTCTGTTACCCCGTCCCAAAGTGTGAAAGAATTCCCAAATGAGAGCCTAATCGTATCCAACAAAAGGCTATTTTGGAATGCCTGTAGGGAGGAAGTTGGGTTGAAAAGTACCGTCGTGCGTGCGCAATAATGTGCGCTCAAATAAGCACGAGATGGGGAAAAATCGTTTGGCTAGAAAAGACGCTGTGGAAAGGGACATTGCACAATCATTTAGAGCTGCCGAGACAGAACACCCTAGAGGTGAAACACTTCCCGAGGATGAACGAGTCTATAGGGTGCAGGTTGTACGTGTTTTCTTGCGCACTGCTACACCATTGAACAAGTTGAGTTATTTCCGTTGTTTCTTAGAAGAGAATGCATTACGACTGGCTGATGGCCGACCTCAAACCTTTTGTGTTCTCACAAGAGCAACAAAGTATAAAAAAGGAAATTTCTAACAAGTATTTGTCTGTTACATTCGACGGGACAACAAGGCTTGGGGAGGCTATGGCTATAGTGGTGCGGTACATAGATGATGAATGGAGCATACAACAAAGGCTGATTTACTTGAAACTACTTCAGAAGTCAATGACTGGGGAGGAAATAGCGCAAGTTGTGATGGACACACTATCTAGAGAATATGGTATTTTTCCTAATAGTCTTTTGGCATGCATGAGAGATCGGGCAGCGGTGAACAATGTTGCTGTGCGGTTCATGTATAACAATCTAGAAGATGTTGGTTGTTTCTCTCACACCCTGGATTTGGTGGGGGGTAAGATTTGTGTTCCAACCCTTTCAGACTTCATTCTGTCGTGGTTAAGTCTTTTTAGCCATAGCACTAAGGCCAAGCTTGTTTGGAGGGAGAAAACTGGCAGGCCGATCCGAAGCTACTGTCCAACAAGATGGTGGTCAAAGTGGGAGTGCATGAAGCAGGTTTTTGAACTTTTCCCTGATGTAGACAGCTTTGTTAACAGCAATGATGAATTCTCACATACGACTCGATCAAAGTTGATTGCACTGCTGAATGACCAAGCAAAGAGGGTGATTCTAAAGGTAGAATTAGCTACAACAGTTGATTTTGGGCACCAATTTGTTACCACTACTTACAATTTGGAGGGTGATGGCCCGCTTGTGTTCCTCTGCTACGAGAGTATCTATGCACTCACAGCAGCTTTGAATATTGCAAAATACCGCAACCTCAATGCAGTCTCCAGAGAGCTAAATTGTAACTGAGCAGCAATTGATAGCCTATGGAAAAGGCTGCATTAATCCAGCCATTCACTACTACCAACAGAGACTGGATGACTCAATGAAAATTCCATTCAAAGCTGCCCACCTCTTTGTCCCAGCTAAAGTTCAAGAAATGAACATTAATGTGGATAGTCTGAGTGTGTTTCCATTTTTTGACAATCTTGAACTTGAGCAACTGAAAACCGAGCTGCCAAATACATGCTGCATGTGAAGATGTCGTTCCATCACATGACATTTTGACATTCTGGAAGAATCGTGCTATATCATTACCTCATTGGTCAACGGCTGCTTCGAAGGTCGCAGTTGTGCAGCCGTCTTCGGCAGCAGCAGAGAGGGTATTTTCGATTCTCAAGCGATATTTTAGTGACACTCAGTATGGAAGTCTCCAGGACTTGATCGAAACCTCAGTAATGTTACAGTACAATGATCGTGATGCTTAATGTTACAAGTAAATTAAAAATCCTGCGAATTTAAAAAAAAGAGGCATATAGGGATCGTATAAAAAGAAAGGGAGACAAGATAGGGATTGGATACATGAAGCATGGTTAATGAACAGATTTGAGTATGCTGACACCCCCAACCCCATCACACAATCCCTATATTGTTGCCTGGTGTGCTACTCTTATAGGGGCTAAAGGTTACTAAAAGCAAGCATTCTTTCACCTTGTCCCTGTTGTTTTTAGTAACATTTATACTGCCACATTCCCTTTTAAACTCCACTTGGACTCTATAAGGGTGTTGGTTACTCAGTAGTGTATTGTAAGTTCTGAGTATTGTAATGGTGAATGTTCAATACTTCACCTAGGCAACAATATAAGGATTGTGTGATGGGGTTGGGGGTGTCAGCATACTCAAATCTGTTCATTAACCATGCTTCATGTATCCAATCCCTATCTTGTCTCCCTTTCTTTTTATACGATCCCTATATGCCTCTTTTTTTAAATTCGCAGGATTTTTAATTTACTTGTCTCCACTCATTTTATACTACTACGTATTATCTCTGTGGAAGGGGGGCAGGCCCCTATAAAAAGTTTAATAGAGAAAAAATGCCTGTTGTCGTCACGGAAGAGGTAATTTTAAAGAAAAGTGCCTGAGGCTATTTGTTGTTGTGGTCGTCATGGAAACGATGTTACACACATGCGTACCAAGTTTCATCTCCATGCGTGGTACCGTTAGCGAGTTTGAGGAGTGAAGAAGTAATTTTAAAGAAAAGTGCCTGAGGCTATTTGTTGTTGTGGACGTCATGGAAACGATGTAATACACATGCGCACCAAGTTTCACCTCCATGTGTGCTATAGTTAGCGAGTTTGAGGAATGAAGAAGTAATGTTAAAGAAAGGTGCCTGAGGCTATTTATTGTTGTAGTTGTCATGGTACGTGCATTACATCGTTTCCATGACGACCACAACAACAAATAGCCTCAGGCACTTTTTACTTCTTCACGTCTCAAACTCCTTAATGGTAGGACGCATAGAGATGAAACTTGGTACGTATGCCTATTATATCATTACCATGACAACTACATGTTTCCATGACGACCGCATACTGTTTGAAGAAACCTCAGACGATTATTTTTATAATTACTTCACATGGAGGTGAAACTTGGTGCACATGTGTATTACATCGTTTCCATGACGACCACAACAACAAATAGCCTCAGGCACTTTTCTTTAAAATTACTTCTTCACTCCTCAAAATTTGCTAACAGTAGCACGCATGGAGGTGAAACTTGGTATGCATGTTTATTACATCGCTTCCATGACGACCACAACAACAAATAGCCTGAGGCACTTTTTACTTCTTCACTCTTAAAACTTGCTAACTGTAGCACGCATGGAGATGAAACTTGGTAGGCATGTTTATTACATCGTTTCTATGACGACCACAACAACAAATAGCCTGAGGCACTTTTCTTTAAAATTACTTCTTCACTCCTCAAACTTGCTAACTATAGCACGCATGGAGGTGAAACGAACTTGGTATGCATGTGTGTAACATCGTTTTCATGATGACCACAACAACAAATATATAGCCTCAGGCACTTTTCTTTAATATTACTTCTTCACTCCTCCAACTTGCTAACGGCAGCACACATGGAGATGAAACATGGTATGCATATCATTTCCATAACGACAACAGGCATTTTTCTCTATTATTAATTTTTATAGGGGCTTGCCCCCTTCCACAGAGATAATACTTAGTAGTATATAAAAATGAGTGGAGACAAGTAAATTAAAAATCCTGCGAATTTATAAAAAGTGGCATATAGGGATGGTATAAAAAGAAAGGGAGACAAGATAGCGATTGGATACATGAAGCATGGTTAATGAACAGATTTGAGTACGCTGACACCCCCAACCCCATCACACCATCCCTATATTGTTGCCTAGGTGAAGTATTAAACATTCACCATTACAATACTCAGAACTTACAATGCACTACTGAGTAACCAACACCCTTATAGAGTCCAAGTGGAGTTTAATTAAAGGGAATGTGGCAGTATAAATGTTACTAAAAACAACAGGGACACGTTGAAAGAATGCTTGCTTTTAGTAACATTTAGTCCCTATAAGAGTAGCACACCAGGCAGCAATATAAGGATTGTGTGATGGGGTTGGGGGTGTCAGCGTACTCAAATCTGTTCATTAACCATGCTTCATGTATCCAATCCCTATCTTGTCTCCCTTTCTTTTTATACCATCCCTATGTGCCTGTTTTTTTAAATTCGCAGGATTTTTTATTTACTTGTAATAATTAGCATATTGGCTTGTTAACTTGGTTTTCACGCCATAACTGTCGAACGCGCTGCTTTTACGAAAATCGCCACATTTAAAATCAAGCCGGTATAGCGCTGAACCTTTTGGTATCGCTTTCGTTGTCTCGTTGCGCGTGGTTGCAGAAAACGTGGTAACAGACAGACAGACAGGCAGACAGACAAACTTACAGACCAAGTACAGTAACCCTCGCTGCGCATGCACGCCGAGTGTTAATAACCTATTTTAGAACTAGTTTGGTTAATAATTCCATGACTTCACTCATCATTGTGTTAATAGTAAATCTATCCGACTCTCTCACATACGTACCTTGGTACATGGTTGATTGACATCAGCTCCGGCTTTCACCAGAATATCCACTACGTCAGTGTGTCCCTCATGACTGGCAACATAGAGTGGGCTGGCACCATCCTGTATAGTGAAAGAGAACCACTAATGAGACATTTCTGACTTACTACTGACCACTCATCACACACCATGGACACTAGGAGACCTGACAACCACCTCAGTCAGGTTTCCTCCTCATCCACCCTTCAGAAGTCTATAGCTACTACACACTTATAATTATACACTTTTCACTATAGGCTAACAGTGAAAACCTCACATAGTGACGAACAGAGCACAAAAACATTGTGTAAAGACAATAAACAAAACATGACATGGTCTTCAAACCTTGTCAGGAATGAAGACTGCAGCCCCAGCCTTGAGCAACAGACGTACAACCTCAACATGACCTTTGCCAGAGGCTAACAGTAGAGCAGTGTGTCCTTCCTGCAAGTGGTGGGGATACAGAGACCAGTAGAGCAGCAGTCAGTGAACTGAGTCAGAAATAAGACTACACATTCACTAGTAGAGAGCCTTACATCTTCAGTCCTAGAGTTGATATTGACAGAAGTGGAGAGGAGTCTCTCTACCGCATCCACATCTCCTCTCTCAGCAGCATCGTGGAGCTCTGTTCTTCCCTGGAGAGAGGGAGAGACACAATGGTGAATAGAAAGAGATACGGAGGGAGAAGTGTGGATAAAAAGAACACAGAAACAAGTTTATGGAGAAAGTAGCTACACCTCCGGTTGTACAAACCTGGGTAGAGACTTGTTGATATCTGTATAGTGAAAAGAACTGCTCAAAGCGGTCTAAATACTGATTGACATAATACCTGAACTGGCAAGACTGGATATGTTTTGTAAAGTGAGACAACTCCCCCTTCCACCAACAGCCTTTCTCCTTGTGATGACAGAACACATGAAGCTGATTCACTTGCCGACGGACATGTTTGTCAAGAACGGTACTCCAGTCAGGAGACTTGCAGAGTGGACATGGTCCTCCCTCTCCCTCTATTCTGGTGGCAGACTCCTCTGAGAGATGTTTACCACAGCATGAGGTGAGGTGAGGCTGGAGCAGTAGACCTAACGTCACTGGACAGAAGATATCCTCTGATGGCTTCTCAACGAAGGGGTAATCCTCTTCTGGTGAGAGACGGCACTCCTCTGTCTTGGGTCTGAATGGATGGTGTGGTGGTAATGGAGTTCACCATGCAACAATAGGTATAGTAACATACTGCAGAGGTGATTTCTCAACAGAAGCAGCAGCACCACCAGCTGAACGTCCAGGACCAGGTGAGGAGACTGCTGCTGACTTCTGTAATACAGACATGGAGGTCTCAGGCAACAAGGAGATGTATTACACAAATTGTACAACACACAATCTCACCTGAGGAGGTGGATAAACCTTGACTCCTGCAATTTGAAGGCTAACGGCAGTATACTTCTTGAGGATGTGGTGAGCAATATCTTCACTCAATTTCTTGACAATGGACTCTGGTATGAACCAGGTGATGATGAAGGACCCGGGAAGGACTTTAGCCAACAGCATGGCACAGTCTCGAAGCTTGTAGTGATAGGCAAACTCTTGTCGAAACTGCTCCACCACTTCCAGTGTCACTTCGTGCGGCCAGTCAAACTCGGCGACTATCTCCTTGAATTCTTCAGAGGGCTTCCTTCTCCTCCTCTTCTGACACTGGCAGAACAGAGCTAGTGGTGTATTCTGGCGGAACCTCTGCATATCTAGCTTGTAGGCCTCCATCTCCCTCCCCACCTCCAAACCAAACTCCTTGATCAGGTAGTCCAGCAACTGGTAGGACAAGTAGTCCCAGTGAAGGACACTCAGCTTTCCGATCAGCTCCGGAATATCTGTTGACTGATAGAGATCGCTTAAATTTTGTTTAAGAAACTGTCTATGTTCATCGTTATCATCCGGAGACATTGACGTAAGAGCGTCAACTACTTGCTCAACCGAAATCTTGCGTTTCTCGAGGCACCCCCTGGCAGCCTTCTTCAGGTCATTGAACCTCTTCACAAACCTTCTAATCTTGGCCTGGACATACTGAGTGGTCATTGGACCTGTTGGACAGACCATGGTCACATAGAGTTAGGCAATATCTCAGACAGGTGCAGAGCATACGTACTAGGCTGAGGTGACTCAGGTCGATGCTGGAGTTCAGTCACTGTATCCCCAGTTGCTGGAGATAAAGGAATGCAGTACATACACAAAGCGTTTTACACTTTTAATGTGTATAATGTACCACTCTATCAAGATTCATTGTTTCTTTATATGTATAAAGCATGCAAACTTTATTCATTACAGTGAAAGGCACTGAAGTGCAAACCCTCGGCGCAGTGATAATACACACGCACAATATGTAAAGTAATGGCTGGGGAGAATCATAAGTATTACCAATTTTCCAGAGTGGCCCTGCTACAACTTGTTAACAGCTACAGTAGTGGACTAACTTGGTTGTGGTAGGTCTGGTTGATAGTCCACTTCAGTGAGTGGTGAGGCTCCAGAACCTGTGGAAACATGGAGTATATATTCAAACAAGCATGTCTTGCAGAAATATGTATTGGCATTATGTTGAGAGACAAGACAGTCTAAATTTGGACAAAGTTAGGTAAGTCATTAGCATGGACAGGTGAGGAGAGACCTGGTTGGGAGGAGGTGGCCGGACTCTGAGAGGAATAGGAAGAAACTGAAAAAGGGAGAGAGACAGTAATGAAAACTGAGGAGAAGAATCTCACACACTCCCACCAATGGCTTCAGGTACGAGTGCTGGTGTTGTGTCAGGAAAGTGAGCTGCCTCCACAGCCATTGCTAGATGAGGAAGATTGACTGCAGGACTTTTGAGGGCATCTACAATGACTCTCCAGGTTGGTCTGGGCTCTACTTGGTTCAGAAACTCCAACACGATCTGAAGAAGGCGTTTGCGCGGCTCGGAAATGGTTGCGTGGATGCTCTTTACTTCGTGTGGCTTTAGATTCAGCCTCAGTCCCAGTTCGTAGGACTGGTTCTGTGCTGGTAGTAGCTCCTCCAGTACTTTGACGGCATCGTTTGGAGTCAGGACCTCCCCACCCGTCGTCGGTGCTGTGTACATTGGGATAAGCTTATGTTAGCGCAAGGCCACTCTAGCCTTTACCTTCGGCCATTTCTACCAAATCTCTCTGATCTACAAGGTGGTATACACACACATACGCTGCACGATCGAGGGACGGGCAGGGTTTGTTTACGCCTCTAGCATAGCTCCACCCACTCTTTTGACACGCTCTAGCGCGCTGTTGCCCGGCCCGCGCAGGCACGCTTTGTGCAGGGTCTAGTCTACTGCAACATCCTGTCATAGAGTAGCTGGAGGGTCTGTTTCCTACATGTGTAAAGGTATATATAGTGCGTAACTGAATTTGGATGATAGTCCCCTTCGATATCGGCTGTTGATGTGATAGCATAAGTTACCCCATCTAGCTATGTGACTAAGCAATTGGGACAACCAACTGCTACTTTTAGGAGTTGGAGGGAATTATACAGACACGTTGGATTTTGCATGAGATTGCTGCAATTCTACCCTCTTCCTCTTTCTTCTCTCTTTTAAAAAAAGCCCTGTCAATAAATTGGCAACATAATTATATACTCTCATGCCAGTGCAGATAGAAGCTTATGTCATTAGCTACTTGGCACTGCAACGATGTGAAGGCAGATAAAACTAATGGTGGTAGCTAGTAGAGACAAAGTCAGTCAAGGTTTAGAGGGCATGTTAGTCCAGTCAAAGTCAGTCCAGTCAAAGTCAGTCCAGTCATCCAGGACTGTAGTAGCTACGGACCAGAGCCTCACACACCAGGTAGGGTCACCGTTACTGGACGGCCGTCTGTCCTCAAGGTAGCCTAGACCAGCTGCACACACACACACGTCATGTGGGAGAGGAGAGAAAGTTGATGTTGTCACATCATAATGAAAAGCACTAAAGTGCAAACCCTCGGCGAACTGCGCATGCGCGGTACCGCTAATTGATGGGCTGGCCTATTTGTAGTATGCGTTTACTAGTGGAGTAGCTCGCGAAGAGTCTGACACGGGCTAGCTACAGTAGTAGATAGCATGCGGGAGTCGATCGTTGAGACTTCTTGTGCCTTCAAGGTACACAGAGCAAGCGGACCCAGTCGAGGTAAGCCTGTGCTAATTTGCATATTGGCTTGTTCACTTGGTTTTCACTCCATAACTTTAGAACACAGTAATTTTACGAAAATCGCCTTTTTAAAATGAAGCCAGTGTAGCACTGAACCCGTTACTATCGCTCTATGGTCGATTTCTTGCGCGTGGTGGCAGAAAACGTGGTAACAGACAGACGGACAGACAGACACACTTACGAACCAAGTACCTAACCCTCTAGCGCATGCGCGCCGAGGGTTAATTAAAGTGCAAACCCTCGGCGAACTGCGCATGCGCGGTACGGCTAATTGATGGGCTGGGCTATTCGTAGTATATATGCGTTTACTCGTGGTCTCCCGCTAGTAGCTCGCGGAGAGTCGGACACCGGATAGCTAGTTAGTAGATAGCATGCGGAAGTCGATACACGCCATTCGTTGTGACTTCATGTGCGTTCAAGATACACAGAGCAAGCGGACCCGGTCGAGGTAAGCCTGTGCTAATTAGCAATTGGCTTATTCGCTTGGTTTTCACGCCATAACTTACGATTGCCGAGCGCGTTAGCTTGAGACAACTACTCCGGGTTGTATTCTCGCCGTACGTACGTCGTCTATTAGTCACGCTTAAGAATGTCAATTAGTCACCAAAAGGAAGTGTAACTTCCGCCGTGCGCGCAGATTCGTAGGAAGTTTTTTTTTTACGCGTAGCTAAGTTAAATAAAATAAAAACAAAGAAAACAAAGCATGAGGGTTCAGACCACGCCGTCCAGGAATGGAACGGGTGGCAGGCATCGGTGGATCCATGCGGTAGCGTTTCCACGCCAGAGGGAGATGGCCAGCCTTTGAAATAACTGACGGGACGATTCAATTGGGGAAATCCCAAAGCGTTGGCCTATGAGGCGACCTATGTTGGAGATGGTGTCGGCAGTTGTGTCACTCAAGCCCCCGAGGGTTTCAATGGCAAGGGGGGTAAAGGAAATGCCAGCAGCCTGACCCTCGAGCAGAGCGTGACCTTGGATTTCAGCGGCTGACCGGATGGTTAACTGTTGCATGGTGGATATGACTGTGATATCTAACGCGGCTGGACGACCGCCTTTTTCCAGCAGGGTATATAGGAATCTGGGTGCATGGGATGAGGGAAGGAACTTCTTTGCGAGGCGCGAGGGCGGCAGTCTGAGCCGCTGAAAAAACTGCATCCCGCAAAGAGTTGTGCCGGAATATTCTGTCCGCATTCCACCTATGTAGTTCCTTACAGCTCTTCTCTTCACCAGCTTGTACCTCTATTAGAGGTTCATCATCACTTGGGATCTCAAATGGACTATCACTATCACCTTGCTTCGAACGTTCAACTATATGCTCATAAAATGGCGATTTTGCGAGATTTATTCCACAGTGCAGGCAGTTCTGACGAACTCTAATGTGTTTGTTGACGGGAGTGTCGTCCATTGCATGCAGGTGTCCCGCGATAAGTGGGCGGGGTAAAAAGTTAACGCGTGCGCGTGCAGCAAAGTAGACGGAACGTATAAAGCCACTTGCGGTGGACGGGATGCGTAAAGCTCCTGCTTCACATACATGGTTGCAGACAGACTGGCACTGTGCACTCCCGTATGCATCAGGACATTGTGCACAGCCCGTGTAACGCCGTGCCGCAGCTGAAGACGGGTATATACTCCGAGTACACCGTGATCATTACGCGTTTTTGCTGTGGGAGTACCCAAAACACGTACACACGCTTGCCCAGTTTTATAAATGAATAGTATAATTATACGCTTAGAACCAAAAACACAGTCTACCTGAAGCCTAGATGATAAAAGTTAGGCGAGTCATTACCATGAAGAGGTGAGGGGAGGCCTGGTTGACAGGATGCAGAAGAGGCTGTAGAGAAAGAGAGACCAATGAAAATGAGGAGACGAATCTCAAACACTGACTTCAGGCACGAGTGCTGGTGTAGTGTCAGGAAAATGAGCTGCCTCCACAGCAATTGCTAGCTGAGGAAGATTGACTGAAGGACTTCTGAGAGCATCTACGACTCTCCAGGTTAGTTGGGCTCTAGCTACTTGGTTCAGGAACATCATGACGACTCGGCTTTTGTGAAGTTTCAGCCTCTGGCCCCGTTCGAGGGACTGGTTATGTGCTGGTAGTATATAGCTCCTCCAATACTTCGACAGCATCGTCTAGAGTCAGTACCTCACCACCTGTCGTTGGTGCTTGATAAGCTCATGTGACGAGCAACGCCAATCAAACGCATTGGCCTCTACCTTCGCCCATTCACACATGACCGAGAGACAGTGCAGGGCTTGTTACTCCCCCGCGCAATCGAGCCCACGCTTTGTGGCCCACACGCATTAACCGTTTTGAATTCAGCAGAGAGTCCAGTCATATAGATTGAAGTGTAGCTATCTTTATTGAGAATCTGCTTACCGCAATGGTTACTGGGGATATGTAGCATGATAGTGATGTCTCCACTTTCGAGATTGGGTCCATTGACATGATACCCTGTTGATATGACTTTAGCATGTCTATCAAATGTTGGCTATATACTAATCCTTATTATTGGGAGTTTAGAGGGTAAAACATATAGCTATACTGTTGCTAAGGGTGTCTGTATAAT